GTATTATTTTGACTAAAATGTCTCCCATGGATCCCCTCTCATTGGTGTTCATGTGAAAGACTAAATCCATCTAAATGTTAGTTGAACATGTAAGAGCAGGGTCCATCTGCTTTGTCAACCAGAGATTTGGGTACCTGGATTACAGCAGAGATTGTGTAACTAATGTAGAAATTTGGTCTATTCATTAAATGAGCTCTTTTCCCAGTTTTGAAGAGTCTGAGGAAGTTTGCCTTGACATGTTTCCAGAAGGGAAACATATTTTAAAAGCAGATGAAATGTTTTAACAGTTGAAAAATCATGTAGTCTGTATGTCCGACAGTCTCTTTTAAGCTTAAATATATTCACTTTTATACACTGAAAATAATTACTGCTTGATCTTCACTTTTAAATGGTCACCAAAGCTTTGAGATGAATTCAAGATTAATTAACATTATTGTGACTTTTACGTGCTTTAAATTTCTGAGCACAATATGGATGCGAAGAAGTCTGCTGATGGAAAAATAAATATACTTACATACCTTCAGTAGAAAAGCTATTGTGACATCCACAAGGACTCCCTTCCTTGAAAACATGTGAAATAACTGTAGCCAATAATTAGTGGAATTCATGCCAGTGATAGCAACAGCAATTGCTTTGGCTGGATTGCACCCCATGTCTATGCAGCTCAGGGTATGTAAATAATTTCCGTTGTAATGTAATCTCGAGGCCAAATCCTATTCCCTTCCTGGCATGACTGAAAGATGATCTTTCCAGGAATCCATTCTGGAAAAGTTAAGATCAGATCAAATTCTGCCTTACCTTTGTAGACCTTGGTTCTCTGAATTGTTTAAAGCTATAGCTTCTTTAAGGCAAACTTATTGGCAAAAAAAAACAAAAACCTGAGGTGATTATTTTCTGCTTGATCTTTTAAACCAGGGGTGTCAAACTGCCGGCCCATGGGCCGGATGCATCATAGCAAAACCGCGCCCACCCCATTGCCGGCAATGGCAAAAAAGTTGCGATACGTTGCGACACCTCACAGGATGTTGTTCCAAAACCCTTAATTTATTATCCTGCAACAAAATTTTGAGACCGCTCAGCCTTAAGTTTAAAAAAAAAAAAAAAAGTAAAGGTGTCTCCAAGGGTTTTACCCTGCTAGGCATGACCGACTATAGGGGACGGTGTTTATCTCAGTTCCTTAAACCAAAGAGTCAGCAATATCTGGAAACATTTCCAGAGTCATGTGGACATGACAATGTGCCACAGCATAAAGCATATGGCAAAATATGGAATGCTGATACCTTCCCCCGTGCTTATATGCGGTACCTATTAATCTACTTGAATTTACCTGCTTTTGAACTGCTAGATTGGTGGAAACTGGGACAAGTAATGGGAAGGTGTCTTGAGGCACCTGGGTTTCAAACTGCCAAGATATAGATCTTTAGTGGTCTAAGACTCAGCATCCTAACCATTGAGTCATCGCATCCCATCAGCCTTAGAAACAAAGCCATACATATAACATAGTAGTGTATGTAGGTGTATGTATGCATATAGCACAAATATACACACATATATACCTGCTTTGTGACCAAGTGAGTCTTGATTTATCCAGCTATGTGACTGATAATCTCTTCTTAGAATGCCACTGCCTCTTCTCCTAGTCTGAACCTTTATTACCTTTCGCATATGAAGGCTTCTTGGCTGTATTTCAGGGGGACAGTTATAGTGTTATACGTGATGCCTTCAAGAATAATGCCAGCAGTGGTTGATGTGGTCTTTCTCATGTTCTTCCAAAATGAAATGCATCCCATGAATCATGATCATTTTCCCCCATAACAATGCAATTGTTCAAATTTACTGTTAGATAGCCCTCACAGATGTTATGTGGGCTAAGCAACATTGGTGATAACATAGCTGTTACAACAGTAAACATTCCCTTAATGTATCTCCAAAGCTTAACCTATCCAAACTTTGACCTTGGCTTTCTTCAATAGGTCAGAATCAATATTGATATCCTACTTCAAAGATATAATTAGACATGGCAAACATCTGTATGAAAAATATATATTAAACTACTCCAGAACACCCTTAATTATTTTTAACTCTTAATACTCAGACACGACTTGTAAATATAATTTTCATTGGAGACAATGCATTATTTATATACTTTACTTTTTCAACATCACAAATCAGTTAACACTGTAATGAGGATGTGGTTTTAATTTGAAAATTATATTAAGTATCTAAAATAATACCCATGTTTTAACAGTTCCAGATTTTACTGTTTGTTTGTCATCTGACATATTTAAAGGCTAAGCAATAAAATAAAAAGAAATAATTATAAGTGATTAAAGAAAAAAGGTTCCGAAAGGAAACAGTATCCCATAATTCATTTTGCATGAGATTTCTTACATCAATATACAACCTAGTTGTAAATTCACCTGTGGGTCATAAATTCTGAAGATGCTGTCATCTTTCAGAATATATGATGTGGGACTTTGTCTACTTGATCTATATGCTACTTTGACTTTACTGATATGGGCATCTCTGCATTTATCCAATTAGCTGAATATTGGTTATATAGGCAGTTTTTCACGTTTTTAAAACCTCTACCTCTCAGAACTATTTGGAAATGGTTGAAAATCAACCCAGAACGTTCTACACACAAAGTGCACATTCAGGGGATTTTACAAACGTTCACAAAACACCACTGTTATGAACCATGGGATGCATTAAAGATGTCTGGGGCAGATATAGGTTTAAACACTTCATTCCATTGCTGTCAATTTTCTTGCTCCCACAGCCAAGACTCCAACAAAATGATTCCTAGGAAATAGAGTATGGACACCAGAAATGTGTTTTTTTCCCTTTTAGTGTGTAACTACATGGTCTGAATAAGGGTCTAGGCTTGTCCAAGTTGCTTTGGAGATGATACAATCCAAAATGATGCAAGATCAGAAAAAAATTGTTCTATTCTATTTAGCAAGGGGAAAAGACAAATGCTTGCATTTCCAGGAGCCATGGTGGTACAGTGGTTAGAATGCTGTATTGCAGGCTAACTATGCCCACAGCCAGGAGTTCGATCCTGACAGGCTCAAGGTTAACTCAGCCTTCCATCCTTCCAAGGTTGGTAAAATTGAGGACCAAGACTGCTGACACTGCAAACTGCTCAGAGTATTGTAAAGCACTATGAAGCAGTATATAAGTCTGCTACTGCTATTTCCGATTGATACTGTTTTACCTCAGGGCCTGGGCTTCACTGAATTTGAAGCTCATCCTATTAAGTACAAATTCTATACTGCCACTCTTCAACATCTAATGCGTCCTTTAGCATCAAGGCAGAGGAAATACTGATCCAATTTACAGGTAACCTAATTCAAAGAATACCTTTCCCCACTCAGATAGATATATGCACTTTAACAGAATTCTGGATGGGTTCCAAGTTAGGGAAAGTTCCTAAAAGACAGAAACAAAGTTTGAAAATGTCCTCGATAGCTTATGGAAAACAATTGAAAACAAAGAATGAAATCTAAGAGACAAATATAAAGTTCCCCCTTGGCAAAAGAAATGCAAAGATAAAGAATGGGGGATATCTAGATGATATAATATTAAAATTGTGATTGTTCACAAACTATAAGCAGAAAGTTGACATTGCTGTATAAAAGGGAAGTACAGTTTTTGATTGCATTAACAGATTTTAATTATAGGCCATCAGTGTCATCTCTTAGTGATCATGTAGATAATCTTTCTCCAGATGATTCAACTCCAACCTGGCCATTCAAATCTTCCAGCATCATGGAAGTATCATCTAACATACAGATAATGTTGTGACGCAAAGGAATTCTGCTATCTTAGGCATTTGAAAAGAAAATTTTAGGTGACTTCTTGCTACCAGTGCATCCGGGCAATTGTGCTTTGAAGGCCAATTGAAATACAAAGGCTGTTGTGTGAATGATCCTATTTTTGAAGAACTGAGCTGATGTTGGTTATCTGATTCAATAGAATAAATATGACTTCATATGTACTCTGGTAAGACTACTGCAGGATTTTATCCTGCAATTCCTCTCTTCAAAGGGTAAAGAATTAGGTGCCTGGGCAGAACAATAAAATGACACAAAGTTGATATCCATATTGGCAATATTAAATATTTCAGGATGAGTTTATCTTATATTCATGTTTGGTGAATGACACCTACTAAAGAAATCAGTAACACCAATATTCTCTGGATTTACTTTCCCACTGACATCACTTACAAAATTTTTCCTCCCTTTTTTGCCAAGAAACTCGAGTAAGTGGTTATAAGGCAATGAAACTTATGCTAAACTAGACGTAACAGAACTGAGTAAATCTCTGAAGCAACAATAACCCTGAAACTTCTGGTCATTATTAAATTCCATAATTATTAAATTCTAGTCAATTAATTACTATTAAAGTTGAGTTATACCAATACAACAGATTAACAAGCAAATCCTTTACATAGATAAATAAAATCCAATTTATATAGGCCTAAAACAATACTTCCAGTTTTTGTAGCTAAGCAGTATCTTATATTTCTTAGGAAATAAAGATGATTTCATAATCTAGGTAATTCTTGGAACCATATTACAATACTGTGCCTAATTCCCAGCTTTTAAACAAATTGTTGTGTAGTTCACAAATTAAAAAACACTTGAGGGTATTATCCAGTTAAATGATTATAGTTTGCTATATATAATTATAATGTAGGCATTAGAGGAAAAGTAGGGAATGCATTCCTGTTTTTCTTCCATTTAACAAATATTTCCATTCATGTTTAGAGTTTACCCCAATGCAAATAACTTACTGCCAGTGAGAGACCAACCCTTTACACAGTACCAGTTTCAATTTTAATAACCAATTTTTGAAATTTTTTCAATGCCAATATGGATTGAGTTTAATGAGATCTTTAGCCAAACTTAACCCATGGTATGTTGAAGTAATTTGTCAAGGCTGAATTTACATTCAACTATTTAGTAAATTCATTAAGTGATTAATTCAGATTATGTGAGGTGACTGGCTTTATTTGAAAGTTGGCAGGAACTACAGATTTAAAAAATGTATCAATAGAGCATTCCTTCTTTCTGAGAAGATATGATGGGAACTATGTAATTCTGATTTTGCATCACTGACATAACATTCATGCCTCTATTTCCATTTCTAGGGCAAGATAATATACAATCATTATGCACAGAAGCATCTCTTAAAAAAAAAAAAAAGAGTTGGAAAAGAAAGGGATAGTTGCTTATCTATTTTCCCAACTGCAGGAAACGTCTGTATTATGATAAAAAGAATTACTCAAACAACTGGAATGAAGATTGCAGATCACGTCAACATGTAATGTGGCTGAAAAGGTTTTAACCAATTCTTTGCAGCTTAGGAAACAGGATTCCAAAAAGATTTGGTAAGGTTTATTTGAACCGTATGACCAAATATTACTAAGCAAAGAATTCTAGCTCAGCATTTGAAATATTCAAAATCTCTGCCCAGACAAATTACATTCTAAAGAAAATATTTGCTTAAATAAATGATATAAAATTATTTATCTCTGAATTCTTTTTTTTCACGTCTTTCACGCATGACTTCCACCACATGTGGCCAAAGATAAGGCTTATCCTAAAAAATTAAGACAGAAGACATTTTTATTAGTTTTACAAAACACATAAAAATTAATACTATAAGTTAATAAAGAGCAGAAGCAGTAAAGAGAGTAAAAATGCAGAAAGAACAAAATAGAAGCCCCTGATTCTGATTTCCTTTGCAGCACGAGTACATTTACAAAATTGCCTCTTACTCTGATTACAAAAAATCCTCACTTTTTTCTATTATCCATTTTTTTTCTAATCATAAACCACAAGTCATAAGTGCATTTTTTCTGTTTCCTGCAAAAAATCCATAAGGTGTTTCCAGTCAACCATAAATGTTAGATACTGGTTTTTCTCTATCAAATCATTCCTCTTTGCAAGTGTCAAACCTTTCCACTCTTGTGCTTACAATAATTTTGCTGCAGTTGTCATATATGAAATTGACTTTTTTCTAGTCGCTTGTCCATTAGTTCCAAAAACAAAGTCTAAGTATTTTTACCCTTTACAATCTTCTGAATTAATTCCTGACTAGAATGACTTAATAGAGGATATGCAATAATACATCTAATTATTTGCAATCGTGGTGAATATCTGTAGCTCGGGTGTAGGATGAGGGTGAAGGTTAGTTCTCCGAGGTTGTGGGTTTGTTTCCAAACGCTTCGTTACCAGGCTAGGTAACATCTTCAGCAGCGTTTAGTGGAGTTCAGATTAGTCCATTAAACGCCGCTGAAGATGTTACCTAGCCTGGTAACAAAGCGTTTGGAAACCAACCCACAAGTTCAGAGAATGAACCTTCACCCTCACATCTATTTGTCTTTTAGGATACCACAAAATATTAAATGTATTAACCTTATGGAAGTTATTTTACTAAGCACTTGTCAGCTAACAAAGAACTCTTCACGGCTCTCTTCTTGTATTATATTTACTGATATGCAGATCTCTATGCACAGGGCACACTATCTTTCTCTAATCTGAGAGAATACGTATGGAGAGTTGGACTACAAAATATATTGGTCTCCCACGTCACTTTTTGTTATTCAGCTGGGATTGGGAGAGGGGGGAAGGTCTCATCACTGGATTTTTGGTATAGAGGGACACTATTTAAGGCCTTTTCATCTCCAGCAACTCCAGGATATAAAATAGATCTTGTTCTTCAACTGAGAACAAGGTTCTTTAGTCCACAAAATGAAAAGCAAAGTAAACATTTTTTTCTGTTATCCACAGAGCTTTATATTAGCGTTCTACAGTTCACTTGTTTTAAATATGATACTGTACTGAGAATCATTTTTATAAAGCAAGATAGAGCGTTATGACTCTAAAAAGTATAAAGGGAGTACTAAAAGTCATGTATTAAGCATTATGCTGTTAATATCAAAGTTAATTCTACACCAGGCGAGCTTATTGAAACTGCTCCCAATGATGCTAACGGGTGGAACTCTTCTTCCCCACAACATCTTTTTGGGGCCAAAACAGTCTGTGACTGCCTTCACACACCATAGCTTGTCTTAACCTTGATTTACCTATTACTGGCAGAATTTAAAACAGCTAGGTACAACTATAGCTTTAGAGAATAAAGAATGTTTTTTACTTCAATGTCTTCCCTAAGAGGGAAGAAACTTCTTAGAAATGGGGAGCCCTCATGGGGAGCCCTCATGTACTAGAACAGGGTTTCCCAACCTTGGCAATTTTAAGATGTGTGGATTTCATTTTCCAGAATTCCTTAGAAAGCATGGGAGATTGTCCATACAACTTAAAGCTGCCAAGATTGAGAAACACCGTACTAGAGTCTGATGCATGCACTGCATTGGATAATTATTTAATTCAGATGTTTTTATTTATAATCTCTCTCACACAAACATTCATTCTACTCAGATTAGCAGAAATTTCTTTGGGATGATTTTTTCACCATAAAATGAAGGTTTGAAATATCTTAAATCATTTAATTTCTACAAGGACACTGATATTCCTGCCCACTTTGAAACAACCTTCCCTTTAAAATGGATTCCTTTTATTAATATGCATGCAAGAATTCATACCTCTTCATATTTTGTCCACTGATCTTTGGGAAGAATATCATGCATCAGACTCAATTGGACTGCTCTCTTGATGCGGAATATTCTCTCATAATATACATCTTCCGGAAGTCTTTTTATTGCTTCTTTGACAACATCACTTTCATGTATTATATCATCACGCTTTAATCCTGCAACAGAAAATATTTCTCATATTACCTAAAATACCAGTCAATTAGATGAGAAAAATGTTTTAGCATTTAAAGCATACTAAGATCTTGAAGCTTGCAATTGGTAACTCATTGTACAATTAACTGCTGGATATGACACTAAGAAATTATTTTTTGTAGTTTGTTAAGTATCTGGACAATGGATCATAGATGAGTCACTCCAGCATCCCATCTCCAACTCCAGCATAATCAAAAGACCTTTTAAAATATTTTTATGATGGTTGCATGGCATCACCATTCAAAAGTCTCTTATGTTGAGTTTCTGAACCAGTCTTGGAATAACATTAAAACAAAACTACCCAAAATACATTAATACTTTAGTAGCTGTTTCTAATGTGCCACACTTATCTTCTCAATGAGTTGAATAAAAACCAAAGCAACAATTTTGAACATACTTATGTGGTAGTCTGTCTTACTGAACCTAACAGGGCTTCTTCTGAAAAGACATGTGTAAATCTATACTGTGTATTAATCTTTGATTCAGCAGAAATTATGAGAAATGTTAATAGCCCGAATCCACTTTTGCATAGGGAGTTGCAAAATAGGTAAGCTCATGAAGAAGAGGATACCATTAGTGCAACAAGGAATAGACAATCAGTAATCTTGCTACTGATGACTTTGGTTATCATGTGTGAGTACATGTATCTTATCCTTTAACTGTAACAGGATTTCTTTCTAAATAAACATGTACAGATAGACAATTAACCATATTGTTTCTCTTCAGTGATGCCTGTAGCTATAGTTGGCAGTAAAACATTCATATCTGATTGTTTGAAGTCAACAGCCTTACGTTCTAGCAAAATTGATGACATAATGAAATAAAGATACAGATTGATACCCATATAGCTGTAACAATTTGCTGTTTTACATTTATAATCACTGTTTGGCTAAACTAATTAACATGACAATTATAGCTATAGTTGTTCCTTTTTAAAGTCACAAAATAAACTAATTCAAAGTAACATACTTTAATTTTTATAATCTATTCTGCAAGTAATAAAATAAGCAGCAACTTTCTATATTTTCATGGTTTGCTTGTCAATCCAACTGAAAATATTCTGTTTCAATTCAATAAAGAACTTACAAACCAGTAACACATTAGCAAATAAAATTTATAGTTTAAAAATATTCACAGATAATGCCCACCGTATTTGTTGAATCCTTGTGCATTGTAATACCATTTGCGAAATCTCTCAAGCAAACGACTGCCAGCTGAAACTAGAAGCATGAATCAATTAACTTAAGATGGTACACATGTTCCATGTGCAGACCCAAACATCATCAAAACTATAAATACAGAAAGTTGCAGTTAGAGGACTGTAGCACTTTTGGTACAGAAAATAAGACTGTCAGCTCAGAAAAATTCAACAGTAAAACAATGAGTAAAATATTTTTGAAAAAGGAGAATCTGCTTACATGTGTATTATCTTTGGGTGTTGATACACAAGCTCAGATACTATTAATAAATTTTGTTACATCTGTCGACCATTACCTTGAATGAATGCATTATTTTAACTGTATTTGGAAGAATAAATTGCTGGTTTCATCAGACAATTGCTATTATATTTTATAGATGAAAATATTTTCTTCCACTTGGTATCATACAAATTTCAAATTTATTAGTGATTACAGGTGAAGACCAATAATCCAAAGGATTTGAATACATTCAGGATGTACAGAATGGTATTTTAAAAGGCTTAAAACAATGCAGCTACAAGAATAATATGTTAAGTAAATATTCCATTTACTGCAGTATAAACAAAACTAGTAATACCTATAGCTAAATAAAAGCACTGAACACGTATAAACTCTATAATTAATTTATAAACTCTAATTAATTTAGGTTTCTCTTACCAGACTTTTTATATAATCACCCTTATAACTTAGATATTATATTTTTATGCCTACACAAAACACTAACCACAATGGCAATATTGCAGAATATTTGTTTTAAAACCGTACAGGATAAAGTTGGGATCAGAAAAGGGGAAAACTTTGGGAACCAAAGCAGCGTCTTTGTATTCTCAAACTTAGGAAACAGATACAAAACAGTGGTTGAGAAAAAAAGCCCCTTTAAAAACTGATAAGAGTTATCAACTTCTTCCCCTACTAGGGAAATTCCTGTGGCTGCTAACAGCAATATCAAGTTCAAGAGAAGTGAAGCAAAACTTATACTCCTACCCTGTTCCCCTACCTCTAGGACTGATGTACAGTACCTTTTTTTCCAACTACTCTCCACTAAGCAGCCATATAGCCTTTAGAAACCACTAAAAAATTCATAGGAGACAAGTAATATAGATATATATTCTGACCAGAGGAGCCAAAAAGGGTGGGGCAGGAATGACAGCCATTAGTTGCTGTCCTAAAGTTCTCCTTAAAGAGTTCCTTTTCACATCCAAGTGTTTCAGGAGAGGAGCATAATCCCAACGAAGCCCCGAAGTTATCATTTCATCAAAACTCTTTTTATTGCTTGGCAGAAGAACCCTTTGTAGTCAGGGTCTACCTAGGCCCTTGGAGAAAAAAACAGCAGCCTACTAGAAGCTGGCAGGACAGAGGAGACACAAACGAATAAATTTCTCCATCGTCGGCTAAAAGCGGTTTTATTTTATTTCGCCAAGAGGCTGGCGAAATTGTCGTCTACTCGGCAAATTTATACAGCTGCCAATTTCATAAAGTTGACTCTTTATGAGAGGGCATAGAACAAAGTAAGCAGTTGAAAATAAATATAAATGACTGTTAAAAACAATTAGGCATAAATAAAAAAACCCCAATAAAAATAAATAACCAATGCACAGCGCTCTTCCCCAACCCGATACTACCATCTGGAGCAGTGTTTCTCAACCTTGACAATTTTAAGGCATGTGGACTTCAACTCCCAGAATTCCACAGCCAGCAATGCTGGCTGTGGAATTCTGGGAGTTGAAGTCCACATGCCTTAAAATTGTCAAGGTTGAGAAACACTGATCTGGAGGACTGGGGGGGGGAGGGGGCAGCATGTCTGCCCTTTCCTATAGGCGGCTATTTACTTTCTTTCCGGAGTTCAGAGCACAGCTTAATTCAACGGGGTTTTCTTCAAAGGAGCCACGTATAAAAGCGATGCTGTACAGACACACCTGAGTGGTCGAGAACCATCCTAAGCCCCTTATCCTAAGCCCCTTATCGTGTCTACGTCCTCTTACCATCATTACCGATTAGACCAGGCTTGTCTGGGTCACAAAACGACACAATCTTAAATACGCCACCTTCCCTCGACGGATAAACTTGCCCGGACTAAATTTTTCTCTTTACTTACGTACCGGGTGCCCTGCCCGCCATCTTCACCTCTACAAAAACCGCACTGCCTCTTGGGAAGAAGAGCGACGTCTTTAAGCCACGTGCTCACCGTTCGCATTGTCACGTGACTCTGGCGTCTACCGCCTGTTAGCGGCGGTTATGCCTCATTTAAACTTGACTCTTGGACGGTTTCGGCGATGTGTCTTTTCCTGCTGCTTACTGCAACCGAAGCAATGAAGGACAAGTTTCCTTTTTTTTTTTTTTTTACACAAAATATGCCTTTTTTTAACCAATAAAATGTGTTGCAAAAAGAATTGCCCTTCATTGTTTTCTGACAATGGACAGTGAACAAGGCTGCCGACAGTGGGAAATGGGTGGTCAAGATGACTTTTAGAAATTGAGTCTACTAAATTTGGCAGATGGAGTAACGAAGTCTCTCTTAAGAATGATTTAAGAGAGTAGCTTCAAACAGCCCTAAAATGAAAACCAAGGTTATTATTCTCTTGTATGATGTATTCTTTTTCTGGCACAGCAGGAAAAGCCTTTATTTAAATATTTTATCAAAATGATGGTATGTATTACAGATCTTAAGAATGTTTAAGCATTGAGAAAATTTCCAGTACTATTATTTTGATGAATCTCCATTCAATCTCAGGTTGTGAAAGCTGGGAAAAAATCCTGTCATGCTGTGAAGACCATGGAAGCTGATAAAAAGCTGAATATTTCAGCAAGTCAACAGTCTGAAATTTAACTCCAAAGCAACCATGAACAATGTTTTTCAAGGCAGGATTAATTTTCTAGGAGCCAACTTTTGTCATCTGGTTTTATCTTTTTATCAATAGCAGATATTTCAAATTAATTCAGTGACATATACATCTCACACTAGATCTTGGATATTATTTGAGATCAAATTCAAGTTGCTTTCTGCTTTTAGATCCTGGCTATTGTTGTATTATATACCTATGCATATCCTGTAAAGAGTTATTTATAAAGTGACAAGGCTGGGATAAAAATCTAATAAATTTCACAATCAGAAGTACTAAGTAAAAGTGCTTAATAGTAATTTAGATTATAATCAAGTTGAATGCTGCCAAAGTACTGTATTTCCAGAGTAAATGAGCAGACTGAACAAAACATACATTCCTTTGTGCCTCTTTGTACTATGAACCAGTGCTAATATGAAAAAAAATCCTACAATTTTCCATAAAATATTTTTTATTTATTATCAAATGTAGAAACTGCCCATCTCCTCACAAAGGGACTTTGGATGCAATACAAGTAAATTATAAATTAAAACATCTTCATGCTATATTTTGGAAAGTATCATATCCAAATATTAGGTTTCCCTTTTCCTTCTGAGTTAATCTTCACCATCATTTGGATTACTATTTATTAGAATAGTTTAATGTGAAAACGTATTTTGGAATTACAGGTTAAATCAGATTGCTTATAAGGTGCAGAACTTCTTACCATGGTGTAGCTCACACAATAGCAATCCAAGATCCCTAATTGAACATGATTTCTTAAATATGGAAATCATTGGAAGTTTTTAAGTTTAAGTTTTAAGAAGAGACGATAGCCATTTGTCTGAAATGGTGTAGGGTTCCTGCCTGAGCAGGGGGTTGGACTCGATGACCTCCAAGGTCCCTTCCAACTTTATTATTATTATTATTTCTCCATTTTGCATCCACACTTCTTTAGGGAGCCAATCATTTCATACAGCAAAATGAAGCAGCAAGAACCTTGCCACAAGACACCTTATTTCTGTCATTTACCCCCTAGCAAAAAGGTATGTACATCAGCTTCAGGAAGTACATTTGCTTGGCTCCTCTCAGGCTAACAATAGCCTGAGAAATTTCTAAGAACTTCAGGAAATTTGACTACTCAATTTGGAAGGACCTGAGGGTATAAGAATTAAGGAAAAAAGTTTCCTGAAAGTTCTGCTTTTCCATTTAAAATACAGATAGTGACTTTACATCTTGGATATCCTAGGAACCAACCCAGTTGCAGTTATAATTTCTGCATTGGACATGCAGATCTATTTTGTGCTGGTTCCATTGTGATCCTAAGATCATATTATCAAATATGACCTAGAATAGAGCTGTAGATACAGAACTCACTTGCATAAAGGCCAAGGTCAGTAAACCATTATAAATAATCCTTTGCAATGCAAGAGTAGAGAGTGGGATGGAAGTGCATAGAGAAATCCACTGTCTCTAGACCGGTGATGGCAAACGTATGAAATGCATGACATGCCCCCTTCAGAGGCTGGTTTGCAGGAGAAGGAGGAAGAGTTGGAGCTGGGACTATCTGACAGGGAAAGCACGCCAGGGGCTGAGGACAATGCTGTGTTAGGGATTGGAATATGCCACAAAATTATACAATTGTAGAATGCAGCCATGCAAAACAGACAGACCTGAGGTTACACAGTATATTTAATAGGAAAAAAAATTATTTGTCTCGAATGTAACCTGCATTTGCATAACGACCTCTCCTTCTCTCACCTCTTCCCAGTTTAAATCTTGCATCAGTCTAGTAACTCCGCTGCATCTAATGAAGTGAGCTGTATCTTGCATTTATGTTAATCTGAAAAGATGCTACAAAATTGAATGTAATAATATTGGTTTATTCACTGTGGAATAAATCTAAAACCAGGTATTTTTATACTTAGGTAAACATTACATCTAGGTCACTGACAGGAAACACTGGTGGTTGCACTCATGAGTATAAATGCTCAATCCTTTTATTTGGTTTATGATGTTTTGTTTTCTTATGTAACATTTATCAGCACACTTGTATATAAGTGCTATCTTATTTCTAAATTAGTTTGCATATTTAGAAGTCAGTTTACTTATTGACAAAGTTTTGTCAAAATTTGCAGTTGAAAGGCATACTACCAGATGTGTTTATATTTAAAAAAAAGTTCTTTACAGCGTTTTCAAAAATTTTTCAAAGTCTGTTTCTTCTGCTTTAGCAACTTCAGCACAAAACACATCATCTGGCAAGGCTATCAATTTTTCCAAGGAGATGTAACTTGGTTGCTCCGGATCATATTGGGCCCTTCCCAGGAACTTAAGAAATAGATGTCTTTCTTTGATTCGTAAAAAATTTGTATTAAAAATCTAAAATGGGAAAAAAATGAAATGTATCTTATTTGGGCATAAGTCATACTGAAATCAGTGGCATACAGTTCTGAGCAAATATGGCAACAGGTCATTAAAACTAGTGACATATGCAAGTAATTTTCATAAATATGGACAATTTCACTTACATTTTAAAATACATTAATATCTTTACATCTTGAGAATTTGGGTGAGCCTATTTTGGTTGCTATGTATTTTGTTATTTCTTTTGTTTTTACTGTTTTTATTGTTTTAAATTGTTAGCCACCTAGGTTTTCTCCCGTGTAAGATTAGAAGTATCATAGCGACGTTTCGATGAAATCACATTCATCATCATCAGGCTTGTGCTTTTAGCTTTGTGCTTCTCAGTGTAATATTAGAAGCACAAAGCTAAAAGCACAAGCCTGATGATGATGAATGTGATTTCATCGAAACGTCGCTATGATACTTCTAATCTTACACGGGAGAAAACCCGAATGACCAAAGACTCACATATAAACACCCGTGAAAACCTCAAAAAACAAATATATATATATAAAAGATGGTGGCCATATAAATCTATTAAATCTATCATGTTGGTCTACAATCTGCATGAGTTCCCATTAAGCCACCTTTCACATTTTGTGCTCCAATGACTAGTAATTAAATAAACTACAAGATTCTTACCTGAGGAAAATGTACCATAAGTCTATGGGAAATGCCCATTACATTATGCACATAATCAAAAATCTGTGTTAATTTTTTTTTGCTTGTACTTAAGTTCTTAGGGACAGTGTGTGCAATATGGCGGATTTCATTCTTACTAAATCCAAGTTCTTGCTCATATACCTGAAAAAGAGAGTAATTGCAATGAACCAATTTTGAAATTTGAAAAAAGTCAGAGAAACAGATGACATGGGGACAATATTTTCAGGGGAAAAATGAAGATTTTATTTTTTCCAGTTTTTTTTAAAGAATTACATCTTCAACCTACAAGTTATGGTATCTTTCCAAAACCTTTGTGTGATTTGTATTCTCAGTGTCTTTAGAATACTGAAATAGAAAATAAAATCCCAGCTTTCAGCAGACTCAAAATGTTAACTACTGTTATTGAGCAGTCACAAAAACTTTTTTTTTTTTTTGCTGTTAAATAAAAGTTTTAATTGTTCTTTTTTTTCAATATAATTTTTTTTATTATTTTTCATCATACAAAAAAACATCACAAGTATTACACAATGCTATAGAAAAAAACCCCCACTCCCCCCCGGACTTTTTTTATGTCTAGCAGAGAATTTTCTAACATTCATTGATTGCAGTTAAATACTGTATAAGGATTATGCTGCTGGAGTTTACATAATACACATAATACTATACCATTTTCTAAAAAAAGTAAAAAGATTTAGCCTATTTCATATAAACCTAACCCACACCTCATTAAACATACAACCACCTCCATTTTTGTGAGTAACAACACTCAAGTTATCATACAACACTACCACATACTAGGTTTCCATCATATTTCTGTATCTATAAACTTCAAGGAACTTATTAGTTTCAAGTCACAGGGCTTGTGCAAAATACTTTACATGTACTAAGGTATTATTCTTGTTATATGCTAAAGTACAAAGTAGAACTGGAACCTGTGAAAATTAGTCCAGTTGCTATCCTGCACGACTCTTAATAACTTTTATTAGCTGAAGTAATGATTTTACAATAATTGCTAAAAGAAGGAGACTTACTGAAAGATTTTCTTCAATTGGTTCAAGTTTGCCAGTTAGCAATCTTGGAAGACGGATTACCAGATTTCTAGTCTGTATTCAAAAACAAATAAATATATATTAAATAATATATATTTAGGTTAAAATGTATATTTTGCTGGTAAAGCATATTTCTACACAGGCAACATGATTGTAGTTGAAAAAAATATGGATGTATATAGTATGATGAAATCATATCTGAAGATAATTTACTTTAATATAATAGCAGTTTCCACACATATATAATTTCAAAAGCAATGATATATCTTCTATTTTGGCTTATGTTTGTGTTAAGAGAAGCTACGTGTGGCAGCCAGATTCATGGGAAGCTGTTGTGCCTTAGCTATGGGATTATATACCCAGATTTTCTTATTTGGGTGTTATGGTTGTGTAAGGAAAAATCTGCCAGGTATTCAACTCAAGAGTGTGAATAATATAGGAATGTATTTTATAACCTGGGTAAAATCTTAACAGGATTTCAGGTTCAATAATTTATACTCATATAAACAGCTGAGCACCATCAATTACCGCAACTTCCATATCAATTGATTTTTATACCCATTCTTTTCAGAAAGCTGGGTGTAATGGCTATTCTCTGCCATCTAGATAAATGTCTATCTAATAGGAAGTTTTACATTCTTGCAATGCCAGAAATTCTTACTATTTATAATTTTTTGATGATTTCTTTCAACTATATGTTCACATATTGTGGGAAAATATATACTGTAATAAAAAAGACATTATCAACATCTCTCCAGTTGTTGCTGGATGCCAAACATATGGAATGCCACACAGTGCTCATTTCAATCTAAAGTGGTCCTTAAAGGAAAGCAAAAGGTACCTTTCTTGGATTTAGTCCAAGTACATTTTGGAAGAAACCCAATCTATCATCCAGTTTTTCCACAGAAAGAAGAAGTAAACATGGAGCCCTTAAGACCATTTGTGTGACTGCTTCTTTGGAAAACTTTTTTGATATTAGATAGTTGACCCTAGAAAACAGAGAAATACATTCATTTATAATTAAATAAATCAAAGTAGTAACCATTTATCCAAATAACCAAGTTCCCTGCATTATCTATCAAAGTGGCAGATATTTCAATAATATTAACAAGCAAAACAGCATGAAGGGTGGAAAAGTCTGACTAAAGCAAAATACCATGATTCCCAATCACAATAAAACCATAATGTAAAAATGTTGAACAAAGATTAACAATTTCCAGCTGCATTTAAATAAAAGTTCTGTGAATACTACCTGAGTTTTGAGATGTGATCTTAGTATCCCATATGGCTTACACTAAAATAAGCATGGAAAAATGTATTTTGCAACTGAACGCAAATACATTTTGATTTTAAAGAAAAGGTCTTAACGAACTTAAATGGCATGTTTAAATAAATAAAAAAGGTTATCAAACAGTTGCTCTAAAGATATACATTCTTTCTCTACCCAAAATACATAACCATGGAAAAAGTGCTGGGAATTCATCTTGGACATTCATTGTTCTTCCAGCCTCTTTCTTAAAATAGAAGTCTTAATACTATTCAGTTCATGAAAAACTGTTTGTGGGGGAGGCAGGCTTTCTAGACATAAGGTCAATTGTGAATCTCAGAAAGCATTGAGGCCAAAGCAAATTGGCCAAACAGATTTGGACAAACATTTCCACTGTAATGTTGTAGTTAAAATAGGATAGTGAAAAAGAATTAAGTTGAAAAAGGTCCCCAAATTAACATGTTCTTGGCATTGCCAACTGACCCATAAAGATCCAACTGTAATGTTCTAGTCTTTTTGTTTTAGTTAACCTCCCCCAAATATAGGTAACATACTCTCCAAATATTACACAGAAACAATCTACAGCAGACATGTCAAACTTGCGACGCCATGTGACGTCACGCAACATATCGGGCCGGTTTTGCCATTGCTGGCAATGGGGGTGGGCACGGCTTCCATGTGATGCGTCTGGCCCACGGGCCGGCAGTTTGACACCCCTGATCTACAGGCTTTTCATGCTCATCAAAATTTGGAAGATTGGGAGAAGGAAGATTATATAAGGGAATTATTATTTATTTCATTTTATTTTATTTCCTTCCACTCCATTTTTTAAACTAACATTATATTAAAAGAGTCTTATAACTACTTAACTACCATTTCACTAGAACCTGCCTGAATAGCATTCACAATCTGATTCCATTCAAATATAACAGAAACCATGTTTTACTCTTTTTTCTCTTTTGTGTGCTAAAGGGAAAAAAAACAATGTTTCTTTTGATTTTAACATTCTCTTGTGATGGTGAGAAATCTGGGAAATTCATTTTTTAATTATGCATTCTTTGCACACTAACAAGTGAATTAGGGCTTACAGCAGTGGTGGGATTCAGCTAGTTCGCACCACTTTGGCAGAACTGGTAGCTAAATTTTTTGTTGCCCAGGCCCAGAATGGACTTCCGGAAGCGGCAGCCAGAGAACCGGTTGTTCACATATTTGAATCCCACCACTGGCTAACAGTCATAATTCAGCAGCATCTGAGGTGATTGTAAGTTTCTACCATGGGTGCCTTTTTAAAAGATTGGTATATAAAGGCCTTTGGAAACTTAAGAGATACTGGTCTTGTTCTTGAATCAATTTAAAATCCAAGTCATTTTTACATCTTCCATTAATAAGATGCATAAACATTGTAGTGTGAAGTTAAGCTTCTAGAAAGAGTTTCAATTTCTCTGCCACCAACAGCCAACCAGCACTTCTCCATCTTCAGTGGGCTGTTATGGCGCTCCTACTTTAGACTCCAAGTTTTTTAAAAATATTTTCCATATCTGCTCTTATCATTTCGCTTGAGCAGGTTATCACAAAAAGACTGCATGAGGTCTACAGAATTCCTTAGTTGATCATAAAGACAACTTTTAGCAATACTTAAAATTTGATTTTCTTAGATATTTCAAACTTCAAGAATGTTATTGTATACTCTTTTCATGCCATTTTAATTACAGTATACTCAAGATGTAACTGCTGAAATATTTTCTCTGTTGATAAAAGGGTAGGTTTTCCCTTCAACCAGAATATGTGAATAATAAGCCTTTAAGAAAATGGCTAAATGATAGCCAAATGGTAGTTGCTAAATGAGGATTATTGATATGTTCAATTTGCGACTGGAAAAACTTTGGCCAGCTACACAAATTTGGGTTACAAATTTGGTAACCCACTCACGCAAAAGACTGTACTCTTATATGAATAATCCAATGTAGATTTAAGAATTCATATACACCTCCCTTTTTCATCCTCTCAGCCTTCATTCTGCATGCCAGCAGTGCTGTTTAGACTGTCTTAGTTCCTGTTACCATACAGAACCTAGCATTCTAAAGTAGTGTCACTGGAGCAAACAAGAAATCCAAGGGCTTCCAACACAATAGAGCTTTAAATAGCTGAGGTTTGGAGGATGAGGGAGTTGGAATGCCTAGATGTCCTTACCTTGTTTTTAGATCTTCCACCTCTTCACTGAGAATATAAGGATTTTTAGTGAGAAATGCGCCAAACTGTGTATCTTCCAAACCAATATCCTTAAGAAATAGAAGGATTCTTTTAATATCATTTTCAAAATCTAGTTTTACAAGAAGCTGGCCTGCATTTGGATGTTTTTCCACCATGGACAAGTTGACACCTGCAGGAAATTCAAAAATAGATTACATAGCTATTCAGTGAAAGTAAACATTTGTCCTGTAGCATGCCCAATTTTGTACATGCAAACACTAAAAGCTTTGTGTTCTACTTTAGACCTAAATATGATTATACTTGGAATAACCTCACTGAAATCAATCGGTTTTAAGGTACACATTTACTATCTTAAGAGACATTGACTTCAACGGGTTTACTCCAGGTCTGATCATGTCTGAATCCACCCCTGCTGTTTAACAATTTTGAGTTCCACTGCACAATCTTTCATTTATAGCCATTTTTAATGTGATTGAGTAAACACAGATAGCAACTCTAAATCATTAGGATTGTGATAGAAAGAGCTCAAGCCTCATTGATTGGTAAAATCAACAGATCAGCTCCATTCTTTAAACGTCTCAGAAGAATATCGATTACTGGCACCAAATAATTAAATATGATACAGATACAGAAAGTTTAATATGATATTGAGTGTAAAGGTAGTATGTAATATGGTATGCTCCTGAGGAACATGTAAATAAATAGTAGTTCTAAAGAAGTTTCTTCCAAATTCTTCATGAATTTCGTGCATTTAAGGATTCTTCTATCACAAAGAAATTGTGAAAAAGTGCTTTCTGTCCTCAATTATATTTCTGCAATAGAGTATACCTTCCATCTATCATTTTATGATAGAAATATATTCTGCAAACATGAATCTGCTGCGTATTCAAAAACATGACTGGTTATTATATAGTAAAAATGGTTATCACAGAGTTCCAACATATCACAAAGTATCTAGCAAGTGGAGCTATACTTACCTAGAAGCACCAATTTGCGCAATGTTTCCGAATGGTCAACATAATCTCTAAGTGAGAAAGATTCTAATGGAGGTGGTGGTGCAGCTTTGATTTGAAGAGATTCATCTTCTGAAATTTTCTCCAAGGGAGATATAGGCAAATCATCGTCCAAATCTAAAGTGGAAAAAAAAAAACCCAACCCTGAAGTTAAAGAAGTGATAGAATACTAAACACATCAGTGGCTTTTATATGGCGAACACCATTCCACTTAGCTATCTTAGCTATTGATAAATAACCCTAATGAGAATTTTTTTATTATTAAATTATTATTCTTTTAATTTTATTACAGTATTTGTTTTTGAAATATAGGAGAAGGAAGATTCTACTTTTTAAATAGTCTATTGAAGACTATTATTTTAAAAAAAAATGGGAAACAAAAAAACAATATTAACATATGGAAGCATGACTGTTAAAAAAAAATTCCCCTAATTTTTTTTAGATAGTTCTGTTGTTATAGTATACAATGAAACCTGAAGCAAAAAATCTGGTGCAATTTAGAGTCTCAAAGTTTCCCAATAGCTTTTGCTATTTTGCTATAGATGATTACTAGTACATTTGCCCAACTGAACAATATTATTCCCCCATCTTTTTAGGCAGGTTGATTTTATAGCATGGTGTTTATATTATTAAGTTTTATACAGTTTTATCTTTTAATATTGTAAGCCATTCACAATTACTGTGTGGCAATATGGGTAGCTAATAAATTTTACAAACAAATAAATGAATAAATAATTTACCAATTATTTACATAAAAAAATGACAGTGGGGAAATAATCTCCATTCATGCCCAAACTCTAGCAATAAATTGTGATTTGATTGACTCCCCAAATTTTATTATTTATTTTTTATAAAATTTATTGATCACCCATCTTACCACAAAGTAGCTCTGGACGGCTTACAATCAAACAAACACACACACATAGACACACAACTTCCAAATTTGTGACTCTGAAGAAGAAACTTATAACTCATTTCTGAAAGTTATAACCCTAGAAAATATTCTACAAATTTGCTTTTACAATCAGGTAGTATCACAAGTTTCATGATTACATATTTGCTCCTCCACCCACCCACACATACATACACACACACACGTTTGATTCTCACACACTGTATTAAACTGTAATTGTCTGGGATTACATAACACAATAAAATCAAACAAACTATATTATATCTTAGGGTAAAGAGTGAACCCAACTGGAAATGTAGATTTAGATTGGAAATTTAGCATAATTATATTAAACATTATTCATAGTTGTACAAGCAATATTAATTATTGCTAATTTAGATAAAATAATATATTACGGCTTGCTCAAGGTTGAGATCAGACATTTCTAATTACACTGCATAAAGTAAGGAAAAAAAGGTGTTTTTGCAATGAATTCGGATAGCTTTGAAGCTGAAGGTGCCTCAAATACTGAATGATGTATTTTATTACTCTACGAACAAAGGAGTCTTGCAGGACGAGAATGCTAGGATCTAGGTGGGCATGCCTCAGCAGGAAGGGGACAGTGAAGACCAGATGGGCCGGTGGAGTGTAAGGCAGCCAAAAGGGCAGAGATAGGGAAAGAGGTAAGGGGTGGGGTGCATTGGAGGTAGTCCCTTACGTTGCTGAAGTTCAGGGCTGGGAGGGACCAACCCAGGGGTAGCTTGGATCGGAGTAGGTCTTTACCTAACGGGTGGTGGTTCGGTTAACAATGGCAAGGGGGAATGCTGTCACTAAGTAATGTGGTCATGTGATGACTCACTTTTCCAGTCTCAATTACTGTTATTAACTAGGAATTACCTGTATTAGATTCATCCTCAACTCTATCATCTTCAACTCTACCAAATAATTTTCTCAGGCTCAATTAAAAAATTTGATTTAATTACTATAACAAACAATAAATTCTAAACATTGTTTAATAGAGAAGGCCGAGGAAAAAATATTTTAAAATTTTAGACATAGTGCTGTGATATGTCACGTTCAACATCATATAAATGTAATTTGTTACTTACCTTGAAGCAATTCTTCGGTATCTACAGTAGGCACTATCTCAGGTTTTGGCTTGTCAATGAAAGAAAGTGAGGTCTGTTGGGGCTCAGTACTTGAGCTGCAGAATTGCCTGTGATTATCCAGATGCAAAGTTCTAAACTTCTTTAACAGCACGTGGCAATAATATCCGTAAGGACAAAAGCACTGCAAATCTGACGGTTCAAGAAAACGTGTCCACATTTTTATTGATTGCTTTCTCAGCTCTGTACTCTTTATAATATTGTATGCATTTAACAAAGAGCAGTATCTGGAAAACTGTCGAGTCCACAAAGGCATCTTACTGATTAAGTTCTGTAAGAAAAGACCAAGAAAAGAACTTAGACAGAATAAGGATTTGTAATGGTGGTTTGCAATGATGTAGGAGATGACCTGGCTGAACCCAAGCGAGGGGCAAACACATCATCAGTCCCGAGTCCCTTCATGCTCACAAGAGATCTAATTCCAGCCCACCTTGAAGTCCATTGACTCTTATCAACCACCAATTTGCTTTGATTGTTAGAGGTTCAGATTCCTGTAGAGAGCATTAGCATACAATACATCTATACTCATTTGAACTGCCTGGACTCCTGATTTCCTATGCTTGACAAACTGTTACCATGTTAGGGATAGAAAACCTTGAAAGCCCTTAAAACCTGGTTTTCCCATAGGATAAGGAGATCTCATGGACCTGTGGAGCCTGTCAAAAGACTGGTGTAAGTTTAGATTGCACTCTTTCTAGTCTTTTTCCTTATTGTAGCTTTTTAACTGTTTTTCATTGGTTTTAATAGTTGAATTATGTTGATTATGTTTAGTTAAATTATGTTTAGTTTTTGTTTTAATTATGTATGCCACTTAGAATCAAATGTGAGTGAGATAGGTAGGTATATAAGTTCAATCAATCAATCAAGTGATAAGTGGCTGTACACCAGGCATGACCAATCTTTTGGCTTGCCTGGGCCGTAGTGAGTGAAGAGGAATTATCTTGGGCCGCATAAAAAATATATAATATAGTTAATGTATATCAGGTGTCAAACTGGCGGCCAATGAGCTAGAAATGTCACGCACAGGCCACGCCCACCCGGGCTCCACAAAGCAAATAACGTCATGATATGTCATGTGATGCGATCGAGTTTGACACCCATGATGTATATAAATAAACTTTATTTTGGGGGGGGGGGGTCTTGTGGGCCACATTACTAGCTGCCCAGGACTGATGTGGCCCATGGGCTGTGGTTTGGACATATGTGCTCTACATAGAATAATTTCCTGAAGTGAAGGTGAAGTGAAGCTGATAGGGCAGAAAAATAAAGGAAAAAAAAAAGGTCTTTGAGGGGAAATAGTTTTCTGCTCTTACATTAGAGACCTGCTATTATCAGATACAGTAGAAGATGCTATATTATCATCAGTATCAAAATAAGAACCGTTTGCTTTTGTACTGTAGTTTGGGGATGATCATCTAGCTTTTGCTTTAGCCTACCTTTGTGGACTCCTGATTATTTACAAAGTCTAAAATCAATGAACTAGTTTTCAGATTGAACAAGAACTAAAAAACTTTCAATAGTCTTTTTAACAATAATGGGAACATGGGCCTTCCTTTAAAAACTGCCAGTGGGACTCATCAAAGTAGCCCATCAAGACTATTATGATTAACAACTCCAGTAATACAACCCTAAAGTAGGTTCCCTCCCACCTCTGCAAGAAAACATTGCTATATCCTCAGCCAACATGACTGAAATAGCATTATATCTCAGGGATGCAGAGTACCAGCTGCGTGGAGAAAGTTAAGTTAAGTTACAGTTAATATACCAGCAGAACTAAAATTAGATAGAGTTTGCGACATCCTTTTTCTCTATTGTCTCATTTTTATAGACAATATGAAGTAACCGGAAGGCAGGAGGATACACAATCTTGGACTTTCAGAATTCCTGGACTAAATCTCCCACTATCCATCACAGGAATGCAGGAACCCAAATTAGAGAAGATGCAATGGGTGTCCAGTTAAAATGCATGTCCCCTGATCTTTGCAATACAGGTAGTCCTCGACTTATGACCACAATTGAGCCCAAAATTTCTGTTGCTAAGTGAAACAACTGATAAGTGAATTTTGCCCCATTTTATGACCTTTCTTGTCACAGTTAAGTGAATCACTGCAGTTAAGCTAGTAACACTTGTAAAGCGAATCTGGCTTTCCCATTGACTTTGCTTGTCAGAAGGTTGCAAAAGATGATCACATGACCCCAGAACACTGACCGTCACAAACATCTGAGACCGTGGGAATGCTACAGCAGTCATAAGTGTGAAAAATGAACGGTCATAAGTCACTTTTTCTAGTGCCATTGTAACTTTGAAGGGTCACTAAATGTACTGTTGTAAGTCGAGGACTACCTGTACTATATTTACTCCAACATCGGTCATCTTTAGGTGATGCCCACATTAGAGTGCGCTCGACAGCATACTCCAGGGACGGCGAGGGAATCCTCCCCTTCATTCTTTCCTTCCCTTCCCTTTCCCAAATCCACTTATCTGAAATTCTATAGGTTCTCTTGCTTAAACAGGGGGCTGGACTAGAAGACCTCCAAGATCTCTTCCAGCTCTATTCTATTCTATTCTATTCTATTCTATTCTATTCTAAATTCCATCGAGCATAGAAACTGGGGCGCTTACTTCCGAATGATCAACTCACCCGGCTGCACCCGGGGCCAGGGAACACTGCAACTCTCGTCCTCGGGAGAGGAGCCTGGGGTTTGTTTTTTTTCTTTGAGGATCCGCTGTGGACCCGCAGCTTGGAGCGCCTGAGGGAAGGGCCCCAACGCCTACCCGGCTGCAGCAAAGCACTCTTCGCCTTCACGAGAGCGGCCTCCCCCCGACACGCAAGGCGCTCCTCCTGACGCAGGAGTAGGAGGCGAGGCTCGGAGCAGCCCTTCCTCGTGGCTGCGGCCGGCTACGTCTAAAGCGACGCGCCGCCCCTTCTCCCATCCCGGTTACGTCTCCTCGCTGCCCGCTGGCGCGCGTCCTTCTGCTTTCCCTTCCCTTTGGCTGAGCCGCGAGGGCTGGGAGTGGCGGGAGTGGGCCGCTATCGCCGCCTGGACAGGACGAGGCGCAGGAGGGAAGGCGCTGCAACCATGGCGTCGTATATGGGGAGCCGCACTTTGAGCAAGGACGATGTGAACTACCGGCTGCACTTCCGCATGATCAACGAGCAGCAAGTGGAGGACATCACCCTGGAGTTCTTCTACCGGCCCCACACCATCACCCTGCTCAGCTTCACCATCCTCAGCCTCATGGCCTTCGCCTTCACCAGGTATCCGCGGGACGAGGGCGATCCGTTTAGGGGCAGGGCGCGGTGGCAGCCCGGCTGTCTTGAGAGGAGGAACCGCCGCAGAGACCATATGCTGGTCTTTTCGTTGTAGGATGGGCAACCCTAAACCGGCACAGCGTTGTGGCAGGATTTTTTCCCCCAGCCCTGCTTGGATGCTGGGGAAGGGACCGCATGTGTGCAAGTGCTCTGCACCGGTCCGCTGCTGTGGGGAGCATCGTCCTGTAACGTTGTAGGGTTGCAGCTTTCCGAGGTTATGCTTTAAAAGCAGGGTTTCCTAATGTGTGGTCCCAGGAACCCTGGTGACCCCTAATACCCTCTCAGGGGTCTGCAAAATCAAAATTATTTGCCATCTACTGAAGAAATTTGTAAAAAATTAAAATAATCTCTTCATTTTTTTAATTTGTTGAAAAATACAGGTACTTTTGTGAAAAAATATTCATCCACATTTAATGAGTTTATATTGTTGCTTTTACGTGATTCATTAAATAAATACGCCATAAATGTGTCAGTTTTAATTTTTAATATGGTAAACATTAGTAACCTATACAAATAACCTATACAAAATCTTTGAGGGCGCTCCGTAATTTTTAAAAGTGGGAAGGTGAAAGCAAAAAGTTTTAAGAAACGCTGTTTAAAGAAACATGGTGTTTCAGCCTTGCAGAAGTGATGCACTTTAGATCTGGCTAATGCCAGTTTAAGAGACTGGGCATTCTCTATTAGTTGCCTTGAGTTTCATCAGAGAAGAAAGGTGCAATGCTGGTAAAAACTGAAGTGCTTTCTCTAAATGCACCCTTCTGAGCAGTAGCATCTATGTTAATGTTTGTAGGTTTTAAATTCCTTAGGTGCAAGAAGAGCACATCAAACAGTACTTGGATGCCCATTTACTTCAAAGTAGAGAGACACAGTCTTATGCTTTACTTTTTTTTTGTGGGAAGTCAAGATGTGTATATTTAATTTTAGTGACTCATTCTATGGTCAAATAAAAAGAATGAGAAGTCAGCTCTCTCTAGTGGATTAGATAGGGTGGAGCCAGCAAGAAGTTCTGGAAATGATAAGAGCTGAAATCAATTGGGAGAGATTATAAAGGGGATTTTTAAGAGAGAAATGCAAAAGAGAATGGGTGAATGCGATCAGACATTGAGGCCTAGATGGTTAATATATATCACACAGATAATACTGTAAGATTTTTTTTAAAAATAGTAACGTAGGAGCTGTCCAGAATTTTTATTCCTACTCTTTTCTTATCAACAATTTCTGTTAACAAGTAGATTTTCCTGGATTCATAAAGACACTTCTAAAAAACCTGACAACACCAGTTTCCAGATATTGTGGAACAGTTCTTCTGGGAAAATGTACCTGATAGCAGCTCTTGTTTCTATTTTGGTTGTCAGTAATGTTAAAATATCATCTTTCAAAAGTTTTATCTGCTGCATTGGGTGCAATATCCTTGTTGTGATGACATAGGTTTACAGAAATAACTGTCAACTATTGATCAATAACCTTAATCCATTTGGAGGAAAAAAGTATGAGGTAGCTAAAATAAAGATAACATCACTATTGGGGGGGGGGGGGAAGGAACAAGATACCTCATATAATCCAGCAAACATATTAGTCATTTTTCCTATGGTTATGCATACTTATAGATCTCTTGTAATTCAATGCACTTGCTGGATTAATTTGTATTCTTTGTTATTTTAACTTTCCTGCCAACCTAGCAGTTCCAAAGCATGCAAATTCAAGTAGATAAACAGGTACCACTTTGGTAGGAAGGTAACAGCGTTCCATGCACCTCGGAATATATCATGCCAGCCACATGACCGGACAACACTGGCTCCTTTGGCTAGGAAACAGAGATGAGGATCGCCTCCTGGAGTCGAACATGACTGGACAGAGGAAACCTTTGCCTTTTTTTATTTTAACTTATGAATATTGTCATTGCCCTTACTATTTTACAAATTCTTATATAGAAATATCTTACGCACTAGCATGAATTGTATTTAATTGGTAATTTACACAATTATGCATGGGTGTTTACATATATGCATGTAGCATAGATTGCTACAATCTTGTACAAATTTTCCATGATGCATTATGATGTACATATCCATAAATGCACATCATGCACTTCATTTATGCATGTCATTTATGCTAATTCCTTTAATGTATCAATGTTGTACTGAAGTGACTACAACTGGTAAATCTTTGTAAGCGAACTGGAAGAAACTAAAACATAGCGGTCTGCTTTATTTCTATATAAAATAGAAGTAATAACTATACAAAATAGAACAGTTAAATAATAATAGAAACAAATGTCCAAAAATAATTAGCAAAAGATGCAAAGTCAAATTCCATGTGCTAAAGTGCTATTCTTACAATAGTGGGATCAATCTTTTGAATAAGTAAATACATATAATCTAATATGTAGGAAAGAGTTACTTTTAAATGTACAGAATTGTACATATGAAGGCGTTCATATCCAGAGAAAGATTTGTCTAGTGTACAGGAGTTGGATTTTTGAATTTTTCTGCCATTGACCTTAAGGAATATAAGTTCCATTTGCCTCAACCATTATGGCATCAAATAAAGGATACTTTACTCTTAATTATAGCTTGTGTATCACAATTATTTCTTTGAATTTTCCTCCTTTAAATATTGTTGCTTGCTCTTATACATACTCTGGCATAGAATTGCTTAAATTAATTATTACAGCTTTCACTCATGTCTACTAACACTATTATTCAAGATACCAGACTGCAGTTATTACATCTTTGATAATTATACAGTTTAAATCTTTCATACCTTTGAACTGAGGCAGAAAGAAAGAGCATCCTTTTATCTACAGTGAAATCATTTAAAAAGCTAACCCATCCTTTGTCACAGACATCTATATTAAACCTAATTTTCTAGTTAGTAGAAAGCTTCAGTTTTCATTTGTCTGAAATAAAAGAAAGGCAATATAAAGAACTTTTTAAACAATGTATAATTGTTAACTGATCATGGTGTCCCTAAGGTGGTTCTCTGTTTTCAGATTGGATACTACAATCAATATCTTTATTTTGGTCAGCAATTCTTTACTTCGCTACATACTAAGTAGCAAGTATGGTCATCCCAAAAGATGCTTTTCAAAAGGGAACTGGACTTTGTTGTGTGCCTTTTCATTTGAATTTTCATAGGAAAAACAAAAGGGAATGAGGTTAAATGTCTGAACAGAGCTTTCAAAGAAACAAGATTGGGAAATATACCTTTATTAAACTGTCTTCCAAACTGAATCTAAGTAGTTCCCAAGTTCTAGTATAATCCTTAAAACAAGGCCAATTGCTTTTCGAAAAGCACTTTTGGAATAACCATGACTTGGATGATTGAGAGTATCTATAGCAGTGTTTCTCAACCTTGACAATTTTAAGGCATGTGGACTTCAACTCCCAGAATTCCACAGCCAGCATTGCTGGCTGTGGAATTCTGGGAGTTGAAGTCCACATGCCTTAAAATTGTCAAGGTTGAGAAACACTGATCTATAGACATTTAACAAGTATGGTAAATTTTGAGGAACTAGAAAAATATGAATATGTTGATTGTATGGATTAGCTTTGTTCCTTATACAAAAAGCCAAAGCAAGTTACTGGGCTTGAAAATAATTAAAAAAATTTTTTTATAGCAGAGATGAACATCAGTGTTTTAATCATATGTTTTACTTTGCCTTTTTTTTTTTTTAAAAAAAAGAGATGATTCAACCCCTGAAGATAACATTTGGAAAGGCATCCTCTCTGTGATATTTTTCTTTCTAATCATCAGTGTTCTAGCTTTTCCCAATGGTAAGTAACATCATTGTATATGACTTTCATGAATACTGATTTACTATATTTTTATAATTATTATATGTACTGTGTTTACATTGTTCTTTTAAGAATTACACTGAACTGAAGGTTTATATAAGTTTTTCATTTCCAGGCAACCCATCCTCCCAAAATAGAATAGATCAGTGGTTCTCAACCTTCCTAATGCCGCGACCCTTTAATACAGTTCCTCATGTTGTGGTGGCCCCCAACTCTAAGAACTCTCCAAGCGCGCACCGACGCCACCCACTCACCCGCCGCGCCTGTGGCTCAGCGCACCTCGCCTGTCCTCACCTCACTTCCGAAGGTTGCTAGCCTGCCCGGCTCCAGCTGGCCAGGGAGGGGGGGCAGGAAGGCCGCTCCGCCGGCTCTGCCCAGCCTGGTTGGAGAAGCGCCCAGGCGGGGAGAGGGAGAGAGAGAGAGAGAGAGAAAGAGCCAACAGGGTGATAGCGCCGGCAGAGCTTAGTTCAGCCTCCTCCGTGGAAAGGGCCGCAAAGCAGCACAGCCTCCCTTAGGAGATGCTTGACGGAAACGAATCCGGCGCTGCAACGGCCCCCAGCTCGAAGCCGTGCGGAGACGGATAGAGGAGCGGTGTCTCGGTTCCTAAGACCATAGGAAATATGTGTTTTCCAATGGTCTTAGGCGACCCCTGTGAAAGGGTCGTTCGACCCCCAAAGGGGTCGCAACCCACAGATTGAGAACCGCTGGAATAGATACAGACATGCACACACATTAACACAGTTTAAAAAGAGAGTGAAGTCCCTTAATCAAAGGAAGTTAAATGTTGAATTCAGCATGCATACTTAAAGGAAATCTTGTTGAAATCTATGGCAACTACTGCAAGAAAAGATGTTTAGAATTCCATTGTTTATTCTTCTGTGTTTGTGTAGGACAAAAATACTTTCTGCAGTAGTGCTAAATTATTAAAATATGTAGCTGAGTTCTTGCCTGTATTGAAAATTCTAAGGATTAAGCAATTGTCACTTTACATACAAGTATATGTAGTGCTTTTGAGCTGTAACAGTTTTTTGGTTATAATTGAGATTTAGGCCAAGTTCCTAATACTGTAATCTTGGAAAGCAGATTGATTTTACAAATATTTACTTGAGCATGGATCTTACTATTTCAAAGGAATTAAATTTAAAATATTTTTTATATTTTATTTTACTTTATTTTTTATTAGACAGTGATTTAATTGATCAATTCTCCCTGTGAATTTATACTGGGACTAAATGTGGAAACTATTAGGCAAACTAATTTTATACAAAGTTACTTGGACTCATTTCAATTGTTAAAAACAACAAAGATTGATATTCAGATTATATTGGCAGAAAGGGGAGAAAATTTTGCTCAGTTTGAAGTGACTAAGTTTTGTAACCAAATCTTGAGGTTTGATAATCGAAATGCTT